AAAAAAAAAAAAAAAAAAAAAAAACACAACCATGCAGAGATATTTTAAACAAGGCTACTCATAACATGATTTAACTACAATTTTGGTCTTGTTATCAAAAGCTACAATTTAGCCCCAGGGCTTCTAAGAATTAGAGAAATAGAGAAAATCATTTTTAAATCTTCTCTTGACAAAGATCGAGCTTATCGGGATCACCTTGTCTTGCAGTAATAAATAGTACCATCTATAGTAAAAATCCTCTTATTGCTTGGAAAAGGACAATAAAATATGAAACTAGCACCTTTTTTCATATGATTCGTGACTCAAGAGTCCACAATCCAAGATCAGTTACATGATAATTGAAAGTAAAATTATAAGTTCTTTTCCGACGAAACCACATGTTCATTGAGAAAAAAAATGAAAAAATGTGCAAGAGCATGTAAAAAAACAAGCCCCAACTAAAGTAACCTAACACTAACTACAAAAAGGACCCCAATGCAAAATAACAAGACCAAGCTCTTAACTACAAAATGTCATAGTGACCAATACCCACAAGGAGGCATTAAATTAAACTTGGCCACCTCTCTAACTTCTTCACCTAATCCCTCAATCTCTCTAAAAGTTCTATTGTTCCTTTCAACCTCAAAACTTTGCCCATCTACATAAAAGGAGAATTCGAGTGCACCTCCTCCAACAATGATCTATCATCTCTATTATGAGCCCCACAATCACCAAGCAAATTCATCCAGTGATTTCAAAGATATTGAGAAAACTGGCAGTCCTACCGTGTATGATCAAGGTCCTCCTCATATCTCCTACAAAGAATGCACCATTGCGGGTACAACAAAAGGGAAGAATTTCTTTGAACACGATCCACGGTATTAACTCTCCTTTGTAACACCTTCCACGCAAAAACCTTGTCATTCTTTGAAATTTTAACATTACAAAATGAAGGAAAAGCAAAGGCAATAGGAGAAGGGATAGACAAGATATGAAGAAAAAAAAAACAATAGTAAGAGAAACTCCTAGAATGATTGAGGGTCCAAATTCTAATATTTCTTCCACAATCAGACAAAGGACACCATAAGCCTACAGAAATCAAAGAAGAAAGGTCACAAGAAAGCAACACTGAGGCCACAAAATGCAGCCTTTTGTTCAGACAATGGTGTAACTGAGCAAAGCACACAAAGGCTTATCACTCACCCAAGTTGTTAAAAGAGCATTACCTAAACCTTGCCATTGGGACAATGCTTCACTTCTCCTTGTTATTGATAACCATGACAACAAATCAAAGCAGATAAATAAAACACAGGGAAGAATGTCAAAGGAGAACTTCCAAAGACCGCCAAAGAAACAAAAACCACCAAAGAAGGAATAAAGAAGACTCGCAAGATGATTGCTACATGAGTGAACCAAAGGGTCTCCAAAAAAACTTTTGAAGAAAAAACTGAGAGAATCTTGAGGTGAACGTTGCCACTCGAACAAATGGCTTATATTGCTGGAAAAGAGGGTGAAAAAAGCCTTGATTGGGAAGGGTCAGATGAAACAGCAAAACCGTAGGAAGCTTAAGGCAATGAAGCCCCACACATCCTTCCGAGAAGTAAATCAAGCTCTCGTACCATGACATTTTTAGCTGTCAACTGCTTAGTTCCAATAAAGAAACAACAACAGCAACAATAAATAACAGATATAGAACTTGTAAAAGGGAGGCTTAATCCTCAATCATTGACCTTAAATCCAGGGAATTATTTATAGAAAAAAGTTACAGACTTTCCTAAACAATATACAGCCAATTAAAAGAAGTATATAATAAATTAGGTTTAGAGTACTAATGGTAATATATAGGGAATGTTATTAAGATATTTGTATTGGCATAATGGTAATTAACGAGGGTTTGGGTTATAAATAGAGAAAATGAGGACGATGGGAGGCAGGCATAATTTTGGGAATGAGTCTACCGTGAGACTTGAGAGAGACTGGTGTCATTGAAAATTTCTCTTTGATACTGCAAATTTTCAATATTGCTGGAGTGTTTTTTTTCTTTTTATTATAGGGATCCTATCACATTATTCATCGCTGATACAAAAGACAACTTTTCACTTTCCTTCTTGAGACCCACGGTAATGCGACAATCAGGGAGAATTTATAGATACTGATTGGGACTTCGCTTAAAGAGAAGTTACTTAGACGACCAGCATAGATCTGGAAATAGGTCACAATTAATAAATAAGAACCTATGGCTTAGACTCATTAGTTGAGGGAAAGATAATAAATAACGTAAAGAGATCATTACAACCTCCAATGGACACGCTGACAGGATCATCCTGTCCAACACCGAATCCTTCCAAAGAATCTGCAAAAGAAATGTCTCCATTACAAGCTTCTCCAAGAGTTTCCCTACAAAAGTAAACATTTGCACAAACAATATAAATGAATAAATACTATCGAGAAAAAATGATAATATGTTACACGGACAAGGCGACAATATTATTAAAAAAAAATTGAACCTAGCCATGGGCAGGCATATGTTTAAAGAAATATTTTGGAAAATTATCCTTTTAATCCTTGAGTTTTCTGCAATAGGTCACATTGGTCTCTAAATTTTCAAAACATGCATTTTAATCCCAAAGTTTAAAGAACAACCGACCCTACACCTGTGTGATTTCTTAGTTCCACCAAGACGCGATTTGGTTAAGTCTTTTGCATGGGTCATCCCTTATTTTGAGATTTATGTTTCCAAATTTATTTCAAGGATTCTAAGCCTCTAATTTTCATTCTGATACATGTGAATTTGCCAAACATTCTTGTGTATCTTTTCCCATTAGTCAAAATAAAAGTTCTACCCCTTTTTCTTTTGATTCATTGTGATACAAGGGGACTCTCAATTGTTCCATATATTTTCGGTGCTTGTTGGTTTCTCACATTAATTGATTGNACTCGAGCCACATGGCTATTCCTTCTCAAAAAAAAAAAAAAAAAAAAAAAAAAAAAAAAAAAAAAAAAAAAAAAAAAAAAAAAAAAAAAAAAAAAAAAAATCAGATGCTTGTAAAATTATTCTTGCCTTCAACTTAATGGTTCGGACCCAAGTTGGAGTCAAAATTAAAATATTTCGAACTAACAATGCTACAGATTACTTCACCTTTTAAATACTACCTAAGCATTGTTTTCTCACGAAAACATGCCAAAAATGTACGGGAGAGAGGGCGTTCTTACTACAACTCACATGATTAATCGCCTTCCATCTCTTGTCCTAAATAATCTAAGTCCAATAGAAGCCCTCAACCAATTTTATCCTCACTTTCAAACATCAACTGGCCTCACACCCTGCATATTTGGGTGCACCGCCTTTGTTCATGTTCACAACCCCCAAAGAGGTAAACTTGATCCAAGAGCAATAACATGGGTCTTTTTAGGATATTCTACGACCACAAATGGGGTACAAATGTTATAATCCCACATCTAGGAAGTCTTACACTTCAATTGTTGTAATATTCACCAAGCATAAACCATTCTTCTCTAAAGCCTCTATTCAAGGGGGAACATAGACATTGAAGAGAGTCCTTTGGGAAACTATTGAACCCCTAGGCACACTAAATGACCATCACACAAAACCAGCTATTGAGTCCACACCTACTATCGAGTGTAATTAGTCAATTCATGCATGAACCGCAAGAGCCTCACCTTCATGTAGCATATAAAGTGTTACGTTATTTGAAAGGAACTTCAGGAAAAGGAATTTTGTTCAAACGGAACAATTTTCTTGCATTGAAAGCTTATACTGATGCTGATTATGTTGGGTAAATAGTGGACAGAAGATCTACTACGGGGTATCGTACCTTTTTTGGAGGTAATTTGGTAACATGGAGGAGTAAAAAGTAAAATGTGGTGGCTAGATCATCAACCAAATCAGAATTATGAGCTATTGCGCAAGGGTTATGTGAAACTCTTATGGTTGAAGATAACTATTGATGATTTATAAATTAAGGAACAAGGGACGATAAAGTTGTACTGCGATAACAAATCAGCTATCAATATTGCACATAATCCTATCCAACATGATAGGACAAAGTATATGTAAATTAATCGACATTTTATCAAGGAGAAATTAAAGGAGGGGATAGAATGTATTAGTCATGTGTCGTCTCAGCTTCAATTAGTAGATATACTAACAAAAAAATTTCACAACTCAATGTTTCATGAGTTAGTATCGAAGCTGGCAATGGATGATATTTATTCCTCAGCTTGAAGGGGAGTGTTGAAAGAATGACCTTGATTTATGGACTATTTGTGTAATCCCATTAAAGAATGGAAGTAGTTGATATTATCTGTATTATTAACTAGTATCTACGATTTATTTAGATTTATTGTTATATAGTAACTAAAGATTTGTTTAAATCTTACCTTGTTATTGGAGATTTATTTAGATTTTTCTTATCTTGTTACCTAGTATCTTATGTAGCCTTTTTTTGTATTATAAAAGGCAAATGTACCTTTCTCAAAAGAAATAAGAAAAAATAGCAGTCTAATTTAGACTTGCTACACTGCCACGAGAGAAACTAAGAGAAGATTCAAGGAGATGTTCTTTAGAAGCTTCTTTAAATCATTATCTCGATCACAGGTGCCCTCCCACCCTCTGTTTAAAGAGGTGTTTGCTACATTATGAAGATCTAAACACCATATTCTCGAGTGGATCATGATCAATGGAAGCCTTAATACTTTAAATATCCTTCAAAGGAAGCTTCCATCTAATTATTTAATGTCGTCGGTGTGTGCTTTGTGTTTTGAGGTTGAGGTTGCTCTAAACCATGTGTTTTTCGGTTGCTCTTGTTCTAAGGCCTGTTGCTTCATCATTTGTGGATTTTCTCCTAAATTTTTAAGAAAACATCCTTCAGCTTTTAATTGGCCCTACATTGTCTCCTAAAGCTTACATTCTATCGGTCAACACAGTCAAAACTCTTTTATTTGAATTACGGCTGAAAAGAACTCATAGGATTTTCCATAACAAGCATCTTCCTTGGCTCGATCATCTTAAGTCCTCAGGCTTAAAGGCTTCCTCTCGGTGTTCTCTTTCTAAATCTTTTGCTGGTTTTTCTTTACATGATATTAGCTTAAACTGGAATGCCCTTTTTTTTCCTTGTAATCCATTTTAAAATTCCGCTACTTGTTCAAAAAAAAAATAAAGAACTTAAATTTCAACACAAAAATTAAGAAATTAGAGTTGTAAGAAAATTATTGCAAAAATGAATAAATTAAAGATTAGCATAAAAATGAAGACATTCACATATTTTAAAGATGGGGGAGAGTAAGCTCTACTCATTCCACCGGACTCCATTTCAAACAACCTCGACATGGATGGTGGAAAGAAATAAAAATGAAGCACTTACATAAATATCCTACATCCATCGTGTAGTCTTCTGCATCGTTCTTCCAACTCATCAGTTGGTTGTTCTAGAGAAAATATCTATAAATAATGGGAAGACAAAATAAAAGGTAAGGAAAGCCATCTGATTGCCTAATAAAGAAAAAATCTAAGTTTTAGAAGAAGAGCTTCCAAAGACAACCAAAGACAATTTATTACAAGTGATTTGAGGAAAAGCTAATATTCTAGAATTCATATTGCATGTTAAATAGGAAAAAGATTGAGAACGTGAATTGATAGAGAAACTAAGTATCTTTATGCTTATTTCGAACCATGCAAATCGAATGTTCCCATCCAGAGCTGGGACAGTACAACAAGTTAACTCACACAGTAATATAAGTTCCGGAAGATTTTTAACATTAATCGCTGCCAACTGAATCAACTTCCAATAGATGGCTTCCACTCACAATGTACCATAGAAGATGATAAACAAGTCTATAAACTCCAAAAACAAGAACAGTAAAGTATTAAACACATGATTTCCAGTGACAAGCAAAAGAAGAACCACGAATGTTTCTTTTCTTTTTTTTCTTTTTTCTTTTTTTCTCTCCATTTACTCCTCAGGCTCCATAATTCCACTTAAAAGCTATTTAATAAACTTTTTTTTTTTTTTTTTTTTG